AAGAAAAAAAAAATCATACGGAACGTTCATTTATCCACGTTAATTTGATGAATAAATTAAATATTGATCAGTCTTCAATTTTCGGTACTGACTGATTCTTTAATTTCTTTATAACAGAATAAAAATTGAATACGAATCGTTCTTTTATCCGACTCAATTTGTTGAGTAAATTAGTGGGGTAAGTACCTGCAAGATGAAAACAACTTGTCATTGCACTTGGACAATTTTCTTGACATTGATTTATGGTATTGATCAATCTTCGGTTTTCGGTACTAATTTATTCTCTCATTATTTTATAAGACAAGAAAAATTGATACGAATCGTTCGTTTATCCGAGTTAATTTGTTGAATAAGATTAGAGGGGTAAGTACTTGAAAAATGAGAACAAATTGTCATTGCACTTAGACAATTTTATAACACTGATTTATAGTATTGATCAATATCCGGTTTTCGGTACTGATTTAGTCTTTGATTTCTCTATAAAAGAAAAAAAGATTGATACAAATCGTTTGTTTATCCACGTTAATTTGATGAATAAATTCAATATTGATCGGTATTCGATTTTCGGTACTGATTTCTCCTTTCATTTTTCTATAAGAAAAGAAAAAATTCAGACGAATTGTTCATTATCCGCGTTAATTTGATGAAAAAATTCGATATTGAACGGTCTTCGATTTTCGGTACTGATTTATTTTCCCATTTTTTTATAAGACAAGAAGAATTGATACGAATCGATCGTTTATCTGAGTTAATTTGTTGAATAAGATTAGAGGGGTATGTACCTGAAAAATAAAAACAAATTGTCATTGCACGTGTGCAATTTTTTGACACTGATTTATAGTATTAATCGATATTCGATTTTCGGTACTGATTTACTCTTTCATTTCTCTATAAGAAAATTAATAAACAGAAAATTAATACGAATCGTCCATTAGTCCGCGTTAATTTGATGAATAAATTAGGTATTGATCGGCCTTCGATTTTCGGTACTGATTTATTCTCTCATTTCTTTATAAGAGAAGAAAAATTGGCATAAATCGTTCGTTTAACCGAGTTAATTTGTTGTGTAAATCACAGCGGTAACTACCTAAAAAATGAGAAAAATTGTCATTGGACAATTTTCTGACACTGATTTATGGTATTAATCGGTATTCGATTTTCGATACTGATTTATTCTTTCATTGCTCTATAAGAAAAGGAAAAATTGATACGAATCGTTCATTTATCCGCGTTAATTTTTTTTTTTATTATATATAAGTGGTCCATGGGACGATTAAATATTCGAATACATGTTGCCGTATCAAAGTCTCCTCTATAATAAATGATTTTACATGTCTGAAGACGCATGATGTATCGTTGCCCGCATCTCATTCCCTTCGTCCTGCTTCTCTGTATAAAATGTCGAATTGAAACGTATTAATAAGTATTGACATTTTGAATATGTCTGAATATGTTCTGAATCTTTTTGATCCGAAGAAAAGGATTGAAAAGCATTAGTTTCCATTAAATTTTATTGCGCTAAATGCGAGACGGTCTCTTTCGCTCGGGTGCCTCACCAGGGAAATTTCTCTGGTACGCTAAATCCCGTAAGGCCATCAGTCTTTGTAGTATATCTCGTCGGTGCATAAGGTTTATATTACCTGTACGTACATATTTTGAAACATTTTCTTTGGATATTATATCAAACGGATTTTGTGTGTCACGTAATATCCTTCGGACTACACGGACATTATTATTTTGATCATTTTGATTTCTTTGGTATTCATTGTCCAAAACGCGCAACTGCCATGTTGAATAACTCAATTGTCGTGTGAAATATTTCGATTTTCACAAATTCATATAAAATTTTTCATTTTTCACTGATTCACAGAAGTCTTTCACTTTTTATTAGTTCATGTTAGGGAAAAGATTCATGATCGTTGCCCCGAGCAGCTGCAACGCTTTTCGAATTATCTATGTCGGCGCACTTTTACTCCTCAGATTTCTGTCATTAATAACTCGATAATTATTGCGAATCTCGCAAAATGGTACGGGACTTTTATGTTTGTTTCAACCCAATCTACCCTCACACTTCGAGTTGGCAGCTAATTACCGGACACTTCGTATGATCTTCATGATATTAATCATACACAATGTCAATTCTTTTCTTTTGCACATGTTAACATGTTAATTCATGTTATAAACGCGTAACAATGTGCGAGACCGTGCTTGTCAAGTAGGCTATTATGGTTGTAGCACGGACATATAAACCGCCTGAAAATGGATGTAGCACCGAAGTGCTACATTATTGCTATTGTAACCCGAAGTGTGAAGGTAAATTGGGTTAAGACAAATATAAAAATTCCATACCATTTTGCGAGATTTGCAGTAATTATCGAATTATTAATTACAGAAATCTGACGAATGAATGCGCGCTGAAATGGATGATTGGAGAAGCGTCGTAGCCTCTCGGGTTACAGCGTGGTCCAGTCGACCTAGCAACTATTGGCAGCGTCCGGCAAGATGTAAATGAGGCAAGATAAAACAATGAATAGCGGCGCGTTGTCCTTCCCTTCGTCGCGCATTGGCATCAGTTTTTGAATCGACTGGGCCGCGTTGTGGCCTAAGCAGCTGCAACGCTTTTTCAATCATCTATGTCAGCACGCTCTTATTCCTCAGATATCTGTCATTAATAACTCGATAATTATTACGAATTTCGCAAAACAGTATGAGACTTTTATGTTTGTCTTAACTCAATCTACCTTCACATTTCGAGTTGGCAGCTAATTACCGGACACTCTATATATACATACATGTTTACACATTATTATATGTCACTAGTACTGAATCATATGACGAAAGTAGAAAGATAAGCCTTGCACAACTTGCTTGATAATATGCAGAATATTAAACGGGAGTACGAGGAGTGCGCCGCACCCGGGACGACCAAAGGCCGTCAGTATTAGTATAAAAAAAAAATGTATAAGTCGAATGACGGAGATATTTTGAAAGTCTTGGGTGGTCATTCTAGAAAAGAAAGGTCGTCCAAAATTCTGCGGGATTGTTTGTAAAAAAATGTCATCAAAAATTTTGCTTCAAAGCGGCGATGAATAATTTCATACCCGGACAGAAGCAACCCTTAGTATGGCTCTAATTAAGGAAGATTTAAGAACATTGTCTTCTTTAAACTGTTCTCCTATTAGATATCGGATTGTCGATACGTCGGACGTCGAATGCAGTGTGAATCCTCCATAAAATTATTTTTACGTTTGATTTAAGCTCCAAGGAGCTTGAAATTTTATTACATACTATTTTTGTGTGATAGAACAAGTATAAGTTTATTTATAGTTTATTGTATTACAAAGATTATATTGCAAAGATTTATGTTCAGTTAGTAACTTGATATTATTTATAACAAATGTACATATACCAGAGAAATATATATACAGCTCATTTATAATTGAACTTGATGAAATTTCTGTACACGCAGATACACGTACACAAGTACGATTGTACTCGACATTCTATGGCTTTCTCGACGATGTCTTTGCGCTGCCCTAAATTTGTCTTGAAGATATTCTCGAAGCGTTCCGAAAATATCCTCGTTCTCTCCTAAATATGATCTGCGAATGTTATAAAGGTGTCCTGTAAATCCGATCCACAAAACGTCCCCAGGATGTCCTTAGCACCTCACATTGAACATCTTTATACTCTCCTGAATATTCGTCCTGTGGCTGTCCTGAGGACATCCTCGTGCTTTCCTGAGTATGTCCTGAGAATATCCCAAAAGCATCCTAAATGGGACGTCCTTTGGTGATCCTCAGGATGACCCATGGATCTAACAACGTCTCTACTTAGTTCCAGGACATATTCAGGATAATCCTGAGGACGTCATGTGCTATTTGGGTATGAATACATTACGAACTTCTGAGAAATTCCAATCATGGTGCATATAACATCCCTAGTCATTCTTCCAGTATTCTTTTACGAATTCCTGAGGAACTATAGTTCAGAAAGGAAGAACACTTTGTGAATATGTTGAGAATTAATTATGCTATCTGGGTGCTTATATGTAAAAAAAAGTCCTTTTACAACTATAAACAACTTATATGTAAATGGATATATGTGCTAAAAACGAATTAAAGTGGACAATATGAGAATAAAAACAGTGAAACATTTTTGTAAAGGTAGATAGATAAATAAATAGATAAATAAATAGATAGAGATAGAAAGATAGAAAGAGAGAAAAAAAGAAAGAGTATATTAATATTTATTAATTAAATAGATAAATAGAGAAAGAGAGAGAGGGGGAGAGAGAGAGAGAGAGACAGAGACGGAGAGAGAGAGAGAGAGAATATTTTAGCAAGTAGTTTTTTAATAAAATATATTTATATTATAAAATAAATTATTATTTTAGTTACTTTTTTATCTTGCAACAACTCAAATTTGTTGTATATTTTAATTACTGTTGTAAATGTGCAAATTTATATATATAATGAAATGTATTAATTATCTATTTATTTATTTATTATGTTTCCATGGAACCAGTGCTATGAATCAAAACTCGAAAACATTGCTTCTTTCTATTTGCACATGCAAAGGCTGGTATTTAGAGTCAGATCTTATATTCAAGACCGTCTTGAATCTTCAGATGCTTTTTAACTAATAGAACGATGCATACAGTATCTGAAGATGAACTTAAGATGATCTTGAATAAAAATGTTAAACTTCACAATTCATCGGTTACACGGTTACACATTATGCAGAAAATATGCACCATGGAATTTCAACCTGTATGCGTCTAATACGTCATATGTTGGAGTCGGTTATTATTAAACTTATATTACACTATAGGAATTATTTTTATGATTTATATTTATTTTAATCTTTAATATAAAAAAGCTAAAATGGCACGCGCTTGTAATGTTCTAATTTATCTACAAAAATTATGTATATAATGGACAATAAGTTCTTTTTTATTATAAATTTATAAATATTTTTATTATAAATGTAATTTCTTTTATAACATACAGTTTAATAAACAATATTTCTTATAAATTTATACCATATCAAAATCATCCCTCTGTAACAAAAAAATATATATATGTAAATATCACTTAAGATATCTATTATTTAAGATGTAATTTAATTATAAGAAATATTTTGGGATAAGAAAATTCTTACTTCATTATTGTATTCTAGTACATGTTTTCTAATAGCAGATGTATCTACCCATGTCACAAAGTCTTCTAAATTCCTATAAAATATTATTTTATTTCTCAACCATACAACATATAAAAAGATATATTGTAAAATTTTTTCACTGTAAAATTGAATTGATTAATAATAAACTAAAAAGATATATATTACCTTGTGACTAAAAATGCAGGATCCTTTACTACTTCTACACCAACTCTGACATGACCTTGCTCTATTAATTTAGTTGCTATCATTATCGTTTGACTCATTTTGCTCCGTACCATAACTACTGGCAATCTTCGTCTGCAAAATGAGCTAGCAGTTACTTTCTGAGTTAGAGACAAGTCCCATTTAGTGGAGATTAATCCTAGCATATACAATTTCTCCAATAATAAAGCACTTTGCTCAATACGATAAGGATGGTCAGGATCTATCTCTTTGATTTTTCTACCCAACTCACGTATTTCACATGCCAATTTGTTGTAACTATAAAAAATATATATTATTTCGAGGTAAATTTAAATTATATCATGATATTTATTATGATATATCATGATATTTATATTACTTCAATAAATATCATAATTACATAGTATAATCAGCTCTCTTCTGAATACCATATCGTCTCAAGATTTTAACCTCGTGAAGATTATTATCAGCTGACCATGACATAAAATCCACCTTCTTCAGTAGTTTTTGCTCATGATATTTTAATTTTCGTACCATTGCGAATTAATTATTTATGGCAAACGTTTCACAAATTGGTCTTTAATCTTAAAAATAAATAACTTTTTCTTCTTCTTAAGGGTTTATAGGAATTAAGTAATAAGTACAAATACTGAATTCACTTTAGAGACTTCATGCGGCGAGAATAAGAAACAACGTTTTTATGGCTAGTTGCCACAATATGCGGTACGATCGCCGCGTGGCGGAAGTTGGCTAGGGAATATTATGGTAATCAATGGCTGTATTCAGCAGACTCAACAGTTGGACAATATTACTAGATTTCCCACTGAATCTCGCTCCTGATTGGTAAATAGTTCTGGGTCTATGAAGAATTTAAAAGAATGTTCCAATCACAGACAATAATCACTAAGCGCTCTCTGATCACTTTGTTCTACTGAACGCGGCTATTGACTTTCATTCTTCTCGAGTCGGGATACGTTCCGAAAGTTGCAAAAAAACGGTTACAAACTTTATGTCCGCGACCGTACGACAAGCGTTGCAGGGTCCTGTGTGCAACCGGCCTTAATATCACTAGACATTCTGTTGCGTTCATTTTCGTTTCCGTCTCCGTGCGTCTCTGACAGGTTGTGTACAGGGTTTCTAAGTTTTATAATTTTCAATTTAAAAATCCATTCAATCTATTGTAGTAACGGCATATGTTTCTGAGATTATAATTCTTTCCATTAAATATAATAATAATCCTCCATATTTGCCTATTAGTATTCATGAGAGTAAAGTTATTTTTATTAGCTATTTATATAACCTAATAACCTGACAACTCACAATGTACTATTTTGATTTATTCGAATATTGTTACAGATAGTAGTGAATAATTCATAAAAATGGCGAAGTCGAAAAATCATACAAATCATAACCAGAGTAAGTATTACTTTGTAGTGAGCTATTATCATTGTTGAAACTTAAAGACTATGTTTAGAGACAATGTGCTAAAGATGATTTAAAAAAATTTTTTGAGATTTTACATTAAATATAATGAAATATTTGATATTGCCTGCAAATTAAATGTCAAGATTTTAGAATTGGGTTGTGATATTTTCTTTTAGATCGTAAGGCTCATCGTAATGGAATCAAAAAGCCCAAAAGATATAGGCATGAATCTACACTTGGTGTAAGTTTTCCACAAGTCTAAGATGTTTTATCATCTTATTTATTTAAGTTATGTGTGTTTATAATATTTAGCTGAGTATTTTATTAATATATACATATATGTATGTGTGTATATATATGTATATATACAAGGTATATATGAATTTATGTTACAACTTTTTACTACATAATTTAGCATTGCTGACATCATTGTAGTTAATTGAGTTGTATATAGATATTGTATGCATCATGTCATTATGGGCAAGTTCAGATGATTGCCTCCTGGGCTACTTGAGCTAAGATCCAAATATGAGAAAGTATAGATACTTACATGGTAATGCATTATGAAAATATGAAAATAGCCATAAAAATTATGCCTGTGATAGGACATATTTTAAGACTCACATAACATTTTTTATTATATTTTTATAATGTATTATTATGTTAAGTATCGACACCTTTTTGTATTAGGATTTTAGCTCAAGCAGCTAAAAAACTAATCACCTCCACTTGCATATGATATGATGCATGCAATATCTATACCAGACTCAATCAACTATAATGCTGCAGTAATGCTAAATTGTGTAGTAAAAGGTTGTACCATGAACTCATATACTCTCTCTCTCTCTCTCTCTCTCTCTCTCTCTCTCTCTCTCTCTCTCTCTCTCTCTCTCTCTCTCTCTCTCTCTCTCTCTCTCTCTCTCTCTCTCTCTCTATATATATATATATATATATATATATATTATATATATATATATGGTGTGTGTGTGTGTGTGTGCGTGCGTGCATGTATGTGGGCGCGTGTATGTGTGTGCGTGTGTGTGTATATATATACACATATATGTATAAAAGTATTTTATTTTTTAAGTTTCATGATACATTTGTATATACAGAAGAATTTGTTTACCTTAGTAATTTTTTTACATTTCTGAATTGAATATCATATATCTTTTGAAATTTGGAAAGTCAATAAGATATAATGATATTATCATGAAATAATATTTGAAAAAGTTACATATATATACAGGATGCTTGAAAATTCTTGATACAACTATTATATATAGATAGAAGTAATCATATTGAAAAAGAAAGTTATATCTTGTAAATTTTGCAGTAAACAGAAATTAAATGATATGAATAAATGGACATATGGGAAACAATAAGAATTTTGTAACATCTAATGAAAGATTGCTTCCAATTTGAAAAATATCTTTTTTATAATCTAACAAAGATAAGTATTAATTGATAGCACAAGGCAATGTAACATAGCAAGCGGTATATATTGTAATACAATCCAATATTATGCAATGCTTATTAAGAGATTGTCAGTTGATTTAAACATCTTCTATGAGATTTTAAACTAATAATAATTGGTGTAATGGCTCACTTTATTATATCATGCATACATATTTGCAAATTTCTTATTAATAAATTAAAATTTTAGATGGTTCTTTGCAAAAAACTTTCTATCTCATTTTGATGAATTTTACTTGTACATGAGTAAACATGCATAAATTAAATGAACTGTGTCTATGTATGTATATGTCCTATTCAAAATTATCCTATTTGAAAATATGTAAATATATTTTACTGTATACCAATATGTTCATGTATATGTGAGAAAGGTTACATGTTTATTTTGAGCTTTAAAACTTTCTAGTAAAGAAATTTGTGACAATTACTACAACATAACATTACATTATGTAAAAAAGTTCAATTGTTCCATTAAGTATAAATGCTTTATCGACTTAATTAAAAGAAAAATGTTACAATTTTTTTCTTTCACCATTTGTATCTTTTTTCTTTAATGTAATTTAAATATTTATTAAATAATTAGTTTTATTTACAAGCACTATGCATTCATTGTTTTTATATGTATTCTTCAGATGGACTTGAAGTTTTTGAGAAATCAACGTTTTGCTAAGAAGCATAACCTTAAACCAAAAGCTCAAAAGAAGAGGGCAGAAATGCGAAAGGCTTTACGTGAAGCAAAGAATAAATAAATGTGTTGTATAAACTAATGATTTTATTAAAATAATTTAAAAAACATTTGTCGTTAAAATACTGTCTTATCCGTAGCCTATGATTTAAAACTTTCAATAAATTTTATAAGAAATATGTATTACCATGAAAATAACTGAAGACTTCTAATATTTTACCATGCAATTACTGATTAATGACAGAAGCGAGAATATACATGCTCTAAAATGATAGCAAAATATATATTTGATATAAGGAAACAAATATAAGATAATACTTATAATTGATGGACCATTAGGCGATTGTTGGTAATTCTTTGGTACATGTATCTAAGCATACCAAACTGTATCAGGACGTTTTCACGTATTTGATACTATGTAGTAGAGGAGTACGGTTTACCGTTTTGGTATAACTGGACCTCGGGAATAGTTCAAGGGATGTTTTATAACAATTTGGCGGTTATGTATATCGTCTATGAGGCACAATATCTCTTGTAGTAAAAATTGTATCGCGCGTGACTCTGCAACGTTTGATACTGCTGACGCTTTATTTGTTAATGATAAATTGTTGACTGCCAAATTTCAAAATCTGGCTGTGTAGGGACCTCGGAAATAGTCCAAGGGATATTTTATAACAATTTGGCGGTTATGTATATCATTCACGAGGCAAAATATCTTGTTTTAAAGTGGTGGCTGGAAAATATTCATACACATACACACGCCAGTACTAATGCACTGCTCATATATACGCTAATACTGATACATTGCTCGCGCGAGCGCAAGAGTAGGAAGGTTGGGTCATATAGACTGCACCATGATGCAGGAGAGGTACACTTTCTGTGTTATCTGCACCAAAAGATATTTTGCCACGCAGGCATCATATTTAAAGCCAGCGGCACACGGTGCTTGTTTTCGTACTGGATTGCTTGCTGGATGAAAATATTGCGTTCTGATTGGTGCATTTCCATCCATCTTCGGAAATGTACCAATCAGATCGCAGTATTTTCATCCAGCAAGCAATCCAGTACGAAAACAAGCACCGTGTGCCGCTGGCTTTATTTTGTCTCCCTCCCCTAAACGCAGCTGGAGAATGACGTATGGGTACACCCTTCTACCTAAAGCCATATACCGAACTGAACTGAACTGAAACTTATTTTGTAAACAAAGTAAACAGCATGTCAATGGATCAAGATGTTATTGAGATGAGAAAAGATGCGGATGGAAAAAACAAAAATAAAATTTTTTGTACATTTTGCCCTTCAAAAATGCTTAATGCTGGAGTTGCTAGGTTAATAAACATGGAGGTAAGTATTATATAATTTAAATATGTATTAATATTTTTATATCAAAGAAATTTATAATTATATTATTTAAAATTACACGTTATTTTGTGTAAATATTATGTATTATTATTTGTTGTTAAATATTCTTGTATACACTATTCATAACCAATGACCTTGTCTTCTTTTGCCTCTAGTGCGGCATATAAACTTTTTCTTTTGATTGCTTTAAATTTATTTTTATCAGATTGAGTTATTAAATAATGATTATATCCAATATAAAACATTCTATTTTAATTAAAATATACAATTGATTGCAGTTTGCGCTACCTTACATACATAGCAAAGGAGAAGGTCTAAGCAATCAACCAGAATCCATTTCCAATTATTGGTTAGTGGAAGATATGTATACATTTGAAAATATTGGTGTATCACACACAGTAGATAATGTCAAGTACTTAGCTTGTGCTGATTGTGAAAGAGGTCCAGTAGGATGGCATGATTTATCTACCAAAAAATCTTACATTGCACTGTGTAGAGTGAAACATGAATAACACAATATAGTGAAATCTACTTAATAATAAAATAATTTTATAATTTTATACTCACAATATGTGTGTAAACATGAGCGTATAAAAAAAATTTTGGATCTATGCAAGTATGAGATAATATATATGTAATTACTGTTTGTGAACATATAATTGATAAATATGCAATGTCTATATAAAAATCTATATTCTAGGTTTATATCGAAATAAATTAATTTCTTTTGTATTTGTCAAAAAATCCTATCTTTAAGGAAGTTGTATAAAGAATGTATAATAGTAATCTACAAGTATACAAGTTACTATATGTATATATATAATATCACTGATGCAAAGTTATTTTTATTTTATGTGTCATTGTATAAAAACCAAGTTGATATTACATATAGAGTAATAATTGAGCAAGAAATAAATACAACTTATACAATTTTAGTTGACAATGTAATATTTAATTACAATGTATGTTACAAATGCAGCTGATAAATCAAATAGTAAATTGTCATCCAGATCAATAAATATAACTATAATTAAAAATCATCTATAGTTAATATATGAATTTGTGTGAATCAATTATATCATTATATATTGTTTTTTGATATCTTGTCTTGAATACAAGTTACATAAACAAGTTACATGTCGTGCATTGAATACAGACACAGATCAATAGATGATTAATCTTATGGGTAGCGTTATATGCGATATTGTATTACGTGAGTAATACACATGTAATTCTCTTTTTCCTTCTCTCTCTCCTCTTAATGTGTTTTGATATATGTATGTATAATATTTCTAATATTTATGATATTTTACTTATATATAGTTTGTAAAGTCATTTTTAGTTTAGGTAGAAAACTATTATGTTATATGTATTTATTTACATTTGTTTCATTTTTTAATCTTAATTAATTTTGAGCAAAGATAGTCCTGTGTTTGTGCAAGTCATATCGTGCTGGCATCTGATAACATTACAGTTTTCCTTCTCAAAAGCATTATTGAAGCAAAATATATTAATTTTTATTTTATACGGACGTATGTAATGTATTATACAATTTGAATCTCACTAATTGATAAGAAAATAACCTTGATTATCTTAATCATGTAAACATCAACATTTGCATTATTGTAATAGCCTAAACAGCAAAATCTGCTTTTGCAGATTTTGCATAGTGTTTGCTGCAGATTTTGTTAAAAACTTGTTAGCAGAAATACAATAGAATCTGATGACAGAATATGATGATTAACGACAAACTAAACAGAATCTATATTCATATGTATTATTCCATGTATTCTGAGATAGACAAATTTCGGCATATTGTCTGCGTAGGGACTGAATTCGAGAATTAAAAATAGTAGCATAAATACGTAGAGATGCGTCCTCTTACAAGAAACATAGGAGCATATAAAAGAAGCAATCTAGTACCATGAACATTATGGCATGCAACCATGTATCGTGTCGGCAAGAGGATGCAATTAATCAGCAATATAATAAGCTGATATTTTATTGCAAAGTATAAGATAATAAATATGTATTTTTTACAACAAGTACATTACAAATATATTAATTTACGTTCCAATGGTATCATAAAATATATGGTAAATGCTAGCATGCTATTGCCAACATGTCTGTCTACTTGGGTCCAAATAAAATATACCGCAGATTCTACTCGCTTTTTATCAATTTGTGTAGATTCTGTCAACAGACTCTGTTGATAGAATATGAGCCTAATACAAATGTTTATGAATTCGTCGATAGACCCTCGATCGAATTTGATTGGATAAACTTTTGATCGAATTTGTCGCCAATCGAATTTGCCGACAGACTGTTAACAGATTGTTTACTGAAAGTAAGACTACGAATAGCGATAAAAATGCTGATTGTATAAGAAGTCTAAATACTGCATAATAAACTGCAACTAAAACAGAGTCTTTAACACACACACATATATATATATATATATATATATATATATGTGTGCGTGCGTGCGCATATGTGTGTACAGGTATTCAGCATAATGGCTGGATGATTTTTTATACACTTTCACCGATTTAAAAAGAAAAGTTGTAAGATGAACGTTCATCTGCTATATACAGATTACAACTTGCAACAAATTTAAAACAAAAATTTTTTTTATTGAAGCTCAAAGTACTTTGAATTTTTTTAAGAATCTAATTTAAAAGAATCTATAATTTTAGTATATGGTAGACTTATCAATTTAGAAATCAGTAGTACGATTTCGATCAATGCATTGATGCTTTTTTTGAGCTAATGAACTCTATGTATCCATTAGATCGTTTAAATATAATTTAAACAATTTATTCGCTTTCACATTATTTCATGTTATGGTAAAAATGCCGAATAGGGGACTCCGCTCCTATGACCTTGACCTTGACATATGTTATCAAGGATACCTTCCTGAGTAACGTGCAAAAAGTTTTAGCCGTCGCTCGTTGTTTATTAAAAAGTTATTGCTAAAAATTTTCATAAACGCACAAGTTGAAAGTGCGTTTAGCACGGCGCGCTCCCCCATCTCTCCCCCCGTGCTAAATGCACTTGTATCTTACGACTTTATCTTTATGGGAAAAAGTTCGAAATGAAAGTAAGGTTAGATTAAGTTACGTTACATTGTGCACGAATTTTTTACCAGAATTAAATAATTTTATTCAAGAGTATTCGTTATACAATGCTCACTGTATGAAGACATTTCAATAACTGAACGAGCTATATTACCCAAATGCTACGAACAACAGCGACAACCTCTAGACGTTTCAAAGCAAATATTTACGAATTCGTTTACAACACGAACAGGAATAGGTCGAACTACAATATAACGTAATCTAATCTAACTTTATTTCTATTTCCAACTTTTTCTCATAGAGATAAAGTAGTAAGTTGCAAGTGTGTTTAGCACATAGGGGAGGGATGGAGGGGGGGCGGGGAGGGGGCGCATAGCGCGCCGTGCTAAACGCACTTGCAATTTACGTATAAACCAAACTTTTTTGCTAATAACTTTTTAACAAATAACGAGCGACGGGTGATAATATGTCAAGGTCAAGGTCATAGGAGCGGGGTCCCTATTCGGCATTTTTACCCATGTTATTTCTAATATCTAAGAATATACGTATTATAGGAAAACATTAAAACTGCATCGTACTTATGAAACTTCTTTTGTTTATAACTTTCCAATAAACATTTGCATTATTTATAAACAGTTTTACTTTATTTATATTTTATTTATAAACGTGTTTCTAAGAATGCGAAGCCTCTTCTCTGTTCACGTATATGTAAAGTTTACCGTATCTAAATGTACACAGTTTCAAAAATTATGCTCGATTAATGAAACTTTTTTTGTTGTTGAAACTTTTTAACAAACAACGAGTGACGGCTAAAACCTCTTGCATGTTACTCAGAATGACGTCCTTGACAACATATGTCAAGATCAATGTCATTATAGTATCCTCTTCTAAATAGGAGTTTTATCTAAAAAAATATTTCAGACAAAAGTTGTTAAAATTTATTTGGTAGAAAGAGATGATATAATGAAAAATTAAGGTTTCCATTTGAGAAAAGTAATTATCAGTGAATATCTCGAAAATAGCACCATCTACAAACAAAATAATATAGTTCTTTATGTTCCTTTTGAAACCATATAACTTTTTTCTGAAATATTTTTCTCTACGACCACTCCCTGCAAAGTTACGAGGGGTGATAGATTAAAATTGGACATCCTGTATATCAATTTTAACAAAACTGGCAAGGTATGTCACTACTTTTAATATTTTATAATAATTAAAAAAAGAAAAGGAAAATTAATTAGTCACAATGTATAAATATATGTTTTTATTAGTTTAACAGGTAACAAAAAGTTGATTAAAACAATGAACAAAGATAAATCTGCAAACTATTTTTAACACATCTGCATAACGCATCTGTTTTGTTGTCAGTTTGATATATCGAGATCTGCTGCGTTCCTGGCGTCAATTTGTTATCAACGTGTTCGACACATCTGTTCTTTATTGACCACCAATTTGAGGTATATTGTGACCATGAGATATTGTTGTATTTATGCGGGTAGTAATGTATGCTGACAATATTTGCAATAACAAAACTGCTTAATGTCTATCGACAATCTATCGTCATTACTTTCTACATATTAGATTGCTCTTTTATTAATCTGCCGTGTACTTTGACCCACTGATGCTATTGCAATTGTGCAGACTATTTATTAACGTTGTTTGCGCTAACAAAGTTACTTTGATGTTTACAATCAATCTTTCGTCAATGCTTTCAATAGATCTGCTCGTCATTCATCGTCACTTTGTCATGTAATCTGCCAACTGATATTGGTGAACTTCTAGTGGAATTGTATTCATAGTGTTTTTAATGATAAAGTATGTTTTTAGTATGTAGCATTTTGGCAAATAGAATTTCTTATCTATGTTTGCCTTCACAAAAATGGTTATTGGGATATTTATTATTTTCCATGAAATTTATTTATGTTTTCTAATAGTGTAAATAACGTAGCTTGTACATTGTATGTTTAATGATTATTTTTAATTTGCATTTTTCTTCACTTATCTTGGATATGTATATAGCAATTGTACACAAATTAAAATACATGGTTTTACGAGATCGCAACTATATTATCCGTATCATATTGACGTATATATACAATATAAAACGCAAAATCAATAGATTTATGACAAAATTTGTTATCATTCGAAAATGACAAACTTATCTACCATGTGACATATATTTTATTTATGTATAGACGCGTAACACAGAATGATCCTTTCCACGTTATAACAGGTACAGTAAAAACATACGAAACCAATAACTAATATAAATGATGACATAGGAGATAACTATGATCAAGAAAATGATTCCACTAGTCAAAAATTCTTATTTTTAAATGAATATCTAATTTAATCCCTTAATATCAGGTTGCCCTTATGAAAAAAACCCTCAATTTAGGGTATTAGCACTCAAAAACGTTTAACTTTAAACACCAATAAAAATGCCCAATTTTGGATGTTATACACCGAAAAAACACTCAAATTGGATGTAATTTCGGATCATCAATTGAAGGTTACACCCAAATGACGGTTAACGCTCAATAAAAACCCTCAAAATAATACCCAAGAAAACTCTCAAATTAATACCCAAATAAAATCTTGAAAAGAAAACCCTGAAATTAAATGCAC